TCTATTGAACTGCCTGACTGTAAGTACGACAGTCTGTTGGAGTTGTTTCGTTACATGTACAGCGATGAAGTGATCTTGAGCGGAAGTAATGTGATGGGAGTGTTGTATTTAGCGAAGAAGTACATGGTGCCTTTACTGGCTGAGAAATGTGCGGAATATCTGCAGGATAATCTAGAGGCATCGAATGTTTTCGGTATCCTGCCACAAGCTCGGAAATTTGAAGAGCAAAACCTGGTGGATCAATGCTGGGAAGTTATCGATAAACAGACAGAAGAGGCCGTGAAATCAGATGGATTTGCGACAATTGAGAGATCGTTACTTGAAGCAGTTGTCGAACGTGACGCTTTGAACATTCAAGAGATAGAGTTGTTCAAAGCGGTGAATTTGTGGGCGACAAAGAGATGTGAAGAACAAGGCTTATCAACAGATGGAAGTGAAAAAAGAAGAATGCTCGGAGAACGGATTGTGAAAGGAATACGTTTTCCAGTGATGACCCAACATGAATTTGCTGCTATTGTTGTTGACTGCAAGATACTGAGCCCAGAGGAAGCTTTGAGCCTATTCAAATATTTCAATTCAGTTCCCGACACTGCAGTAGAATTTCTAGAGACCAAACGAACTGGTTTGACGGAACTGCGATTTGAGCGTTGTCGCAGATATGGTTCCGTGGATTACACTGAGCCAGGCTATTCTTATTCACCTGATTTTATAGACTGTCTTGCTTTTAAAGTGGACAAAGAAATTTCCTTACTTGGAGTAACACTTTGCGGAAGTAAAGATAACACGTATTCTGTAACTTTACGCGTAACTAATTTAGACAACAAGGAAGTTCTTATTGTCACAACAGGAACGTTTTCTTCAGATTTTATCAAGTCAGAGCCATGTCTTTATCGTGGCTTCGATATTTTCTTTGACCGTCCAGTTTTCTTGAAAAGAAATGTCCTGTACGGTTTTAAAGCTCATATTTCTGGTGCCAATTCTTGTTCATGTCAGAAAGGTAAAATGGTTGTGGTCTCTTCGGGAGTTAGATTTAACTTTAGGGTATGTTGTGGCAGCAACAATGGAACAAGCGTTGAACGTGGCCAATTTCCAGAGATTCTCTTTACTGTGTAATATTGTTTCAGTGATTGATTTTAAATTACAATCGATTAAACCTAAATCGATTAAACCATGCAAATAAGCACAAGATACATGTCAGCTTTCTATTAAAACCCTACGGAGCGGTTTTCGTTAAATCAAAACCAAACCAATTACACCGTAGTAAAACCTAAACCAAAGCAATTGTCTAATTACTTCGGATACTCAATTGAAAACCGTTCTATTACCCAGCTCTTGGGGCCAGTCATGATAGAGGAAATTTGTATCTTTAGTGAATGTAAAATATGCCTGTTGAATGGTCTCTGTTATTAGTCAGGTGGCTTAACGCAATATTTAGGCTGGATCATGACAAGAGTGATAAAAGCATGAAATTTGGCACACAGCTTGCTTATACCCTACCAAATGATATTAGAAGGGGTGTATGGAACGCCAGAACTGTCTTATGATACTTTTTTTTTATTATATTGGGTTGTTATGTCATTATATTGAGTACTTATGTTAGTATATTCGGTGATTAACTCATTATACTCGGTGCTTATGTCTTTATATGCGGTGCTGTCTTCATTATATTC